TTTTTTTTTATTTAAAAACGAACAGTTCAAATTTCTCTTTAGTTTTCAAGAACTGTAATATTTGTTAAATTTAGAATGCAGCTTTGATTTTTACGTAAACATTAGTATTAGACATAAATTCTAGTAGATAGAATAATGATTTAAAGCATACGAAACATCATTTTTGTAACATTTATCGATAAGCATATATATTCTACTACCAAGTAAAACATCAAATTTCCACCATTCTAAGAAAATTGTTTCATTACACTGAATACAGTGGTGTTACTGTAAATTATAATTTTCAAATTTTATTACCTTCAAATAGTTAAACCTATAATTTCGTATATCTACATATGGAAGCAATATACAGCTTTATGATGTGAACATTTATATAATACAAGTAACTAATACAAGGAAAAAATTTGTAGACAAAAGTATATATAAATATCAAATTTATATTAGGTGTTAAGGAATATTCTTCGAGTTGTGTTTTCTCACTCATTTTTTCGAAGCATAGGGACAATTTATTTATAGTATCTTGTAGTTTTATTATATTTAACCCTTTGCGGACGGAACGGTTGAAAGTCGAGCGTTCTGTGGGCTCAAGCCACTGCAGCAATAGTCACTAGAAATTGTTAGCTCACTTTTCTCGTGTAATGCACACCGTATCGAGATACCGATTCGACAGATAACTGCGTTACTACTTAATAAAAACCAAAAATAATGAAAAATTAATCGAAACAAGGAATTCTTTGATGACACGATGCTTATATTCTAAGTATGGTAAATTATAATAAACCATCGTAAATATAATAAAATAATCGTCATGACAGGGATACAATAGAAAAGTAAGACTATAACAGTGTATCCACTATGAAAGTCAGAGGAAAAAGTATCATCTTACATATCAGTCTAAACATATATGTATGTATGTAATATGTATACAGAGTTCTGTCGAACTACGCGTAGGTTAGGAACGTCGACAGTCCGCGTAGTTGGGAACCATCCCCCGGTTTTACGGAAAATTGAAGTCTGATCATCTGCACTGCGTGTCAAGTGTCGTATATTGTCGTTAGAATAATAACAAACGAAGTAGGTCGTGTGTAAAGACTTAGTTGTTTACTAAGAGACAGTGTTTTTCCAGAAAAGGATAGAATATGTATATGTCTCTGGGAGACAACAGAAAAAAACTAATTTGTTGTTGTTTCATAGCTATAACACATCTTATTACAAGAAAAATAAACTTAGGATACGATAAAACGAAATTGTTGCAGTAATTAATCTAACTAGCTATACGTAGGCTCTCCTCTATTTTCAATTCACTCAATCATTCGATTGTGTACGTATATATACATACATATTATTCACGCATACGCATACCGTGAAACTGTAGCTGTGTAGCTCGCACAGACACGCTTCTCGTTTGATTTTTCCCCCAAGGTGAGCTGTTCGTTGTGTACTTGAATTCGATGCACCAGCTTCTTGTATGCAGCGGCACTTAATTCACACGAACGAATATGCTAAGTAAGTAAATTGATTGGAAATCCGCGTATAATCGAAAACGCGTTGTTCGATGTATTCCCTACAAGACTATAATCGCGCAGTATAACCTCACACGACAGCCTCGTAAACACCGACTGAGGCCTAGTCGTGCTGCCCGATTTCTGACCGCTGTACGCTCGCAACTGTTCTAGGAAAAATTCTAGGCCTTAACTTCGTAGAACTCGGGATATATCTTGCGAGCCAAACATAAGAAACGCGAGCCTGGGTCGCTGTACGTACATCGAGCCAAACATAAAGACAGCCTCGTAAACACCGACTGAGGCCTAGTCGTGCTGCCCGATTTCTGACCGTTGTACGCTCGCAACTGTTCTTGGAAAAATTCTAGGCCTTAACTTCTTAGAACTCGGGATATTTCTTGCGAGCCAAACATAAGAAACGCGAGCCTGTGTCGCTGTACGTACATCGAGCCAAACATAAAGCTAGCTGTCCTTTTTAGAGTAAAACTATCGCGAGTTGCTCTCGAGAGTATCTCTCGCGAGTGGACACTGCGTCTGAGAGTGACTGTCTGACAGCATCGCTCGACTCTCTGAGAGTTACGCTCGAATAAACAGTTGCTTTACTTTTAAGTTAGTTGAGGAATGCAAATTCTGTTAGAGTCTTACTTTTTTATTGTATCCCTGTCATGACGATTATTTTATTATTAGAATATAAGCATTGTGTCATCAAAGAATTCCTTGTTTCGATTAATTTGTCATTAATTATTTTTCATTATTTTTGGTTTTTATTAAACACTAATGTACAACAATCTTTGTAAATAATACTCAATATGAGTTTCTAAGTGCTTAATTTACGAACAGCCTATCATTCGAAGAAAACAAGCCGGAATATAAATTATAAATATGGTCATACTCTGACCTTGAACCGCATTTTTCATAACTTTCCCATCATTTCCGGGAAAAATGACAATTGCAAAACATAATTTGCATCATATGCGTGCGTTACGAAAAGTAGTACGTTTCATTTGTCTTACGAAGAACAGTATGTGTCAGTTTGCCACGTAAAGTAGCACATTGCGTCGTTTCTTACGAATATTAGCACGTTTGGTCTTCCGTCGTGAAAATTAATACATTTTACCGTTTTGCCACGAAGAATGGCACATTTTCGATTTTGCGGCGAAAATTAACACATTTCGGCGTGTGGTCAGTTTAAATTGTTGAAATGCATTTTGCATCGAGAACTTCAACCTTTGAAAATATTGTTTAATATATAATAGCTGCATCTAATCTTCCAAATGAAAAAACTATAGAAATGTTTCTTACTTTTATCTCCGATGCACTCAAGAAGCAAACGAACGGAAGGGAAATAACAGCCGTAATTTCCAGAACATCTACTTCCCTCGATAACAGTCGTGTCTACTCAATCCTGAATACACTATACTATGATTAGATCGAGACAAAATTCTGATTAGATCATAATTGATTTACATGATGCAAAAAAAAAAAATCAAATCTTGTCGGTTACTGCTGTATAAAGCTAAACATGTTATTTTTCGTAGCCAACCATTTAGATGTGTTATTTTTCGCGACGAAAGAGATACGTGATATTTTTCGAGACAATAAAGACATTCTACTTTTCGTCGAAATGGAGAGAGAGTGGATAGGCAGAAAAAGAAAGGGAAAAAAAGATGCGTGTCGCCCTGGACATCCTAGTAAACTCGTCAGTAAGGCTACCTAGGAGACTCGTGACTTAAACGCGAGGAACGATTAGACTCAGGTTAGAAGGTGTATACATAATAATAGAAGCCTTGGCGAGGACTAGCGAGAAAGGTTAATGTTACTACGTCTCTATAGGTGGAGCGTCGGAGGTATCGCCACATATTTACATACATATTATTATACATACGGTGTTTCCTTTATTTCGCAAAATTGGAATATCTCGTGAAGGACTGAACCTATCAAAAAAGTGTTTAAACAAAATTTGTTTGATATTAAAAGGGCATCATATGGTGGAAATTATTTTTTGCAGGTCGATTAGTGGGGGGAAATTTTATATATCACAAACATTTAATATTTTGTTTGTGTCGAAAGCACAAACCAAAAATTCACCTAATGCATATGTTTCGGCATTGTCGATGATTTTCGCTGAACACATACATATATGCGTTAATCATCCACAAAGGGTTAAAACTTATATTATTTTTCTACGCAATTCGTAAGTTACGAAAGATACAGCTTAAAGTCGCACGAAATGACGAATAATATTTCCATTTAAAAAAGTCATATCGTAAACCTTACATTAATACATGGAATTTCAGAAAACAAGAAGAATATTTCCTAACACTTAATATATTCTGGAAAAGTTTCCTATTTTTCTATTGGTTTATTCTTTGTGTACACGTTGTTTAGCCTAATAAAATTCGGTAAAACATTTTCAGGTGGAAGACTATAGTAATAAAATCGCAACGGTATTCAAATCTCAGGGATTTCGTAAAGGAGATGTGGTTGGCATATATTTAGAAAATAGGGTGGAATTCGTTGCCCTTTGGCTTGGTCTGAGTAAACTGGGAGTAATAGTACCACTGATTAACACCAATCTTCGTAAAACATCTCTTCTGCATAGCATCAATGTGTCCAAGTGTCAGGCTCTTATTTATGGAGCGGATTTTACAGATGGTAAGTGTAAAAGCAGTACATGATTAAAACTAAATTTTTATTTTTTCGGAATCGATTTTTATTTTTTTAGCAGATACATTTGTATGAATTCATATTAATTTTTACAAATCATCAAATTTCTTGTTAAATCTAATCGTATTAAACAACGGAATGCCAACAAAGATATTTTGCTGGAGATACTGAGGATAAATGAAAATAAAACATGCAATTAGAAGGAAATTCTAATTAAATTAGGACTTCCCAAGTAACACTTTATGTCAAAGGGAAGATATAATTATCGAAAAATATTTAACTTTTGATTGATTGGTAAATGATTAAATGCATTAATCTTATGATGTTCTGAATTAAAATCTGAAGATTTATCAACGATTATATATGGAGAAAAGGAAATTCCAAATGCAGATGCGAATAAAATAAGATATATGATAAGATGCACTGCGTATAAGTATTATCCTTTGAAATTTTATAATCGTGTTCATGTTAGCAACAAATAATATAAGTAATTCAATTGTTAGGTTAGAACTCGTCCCTCGCACGCCATTTTAATATTGCGCGAGGTGATTTAGAAATGTGTTTTGTTTTTAGAAGCGTATTGTAAAAAGTCTTTTTTAGACTCGCACTTTTATATAAATTTATATAAAATTGTGGAAAATTAGCGGTGACTAGCGAACCTGTGGATGTCTCAGACATCCTTGGATAGTAGGACCTCAAGCATCCCACCCACCTTGATAACTAGAAGGTTAGCAAGGTTGCGGTGCAGGTCAATGGAGGGAATAAGCTCAAGGCTAAGCGGACCACGTGTCCACCGATTGTGCTCCGAGTAATGGGTTTACGACACGTATATCGCTATTTGAGTGAGCAGAAATAAGGCACTAGTACTTATGTACTTACTTAATCCTGTCGTGATCGAATTCTTTTTTTATTGAAGAATTTTTTATTTATCTACCGATCACCGCGTCTCTAGTGAATACTAAATTCATTCAAAATAATACAAATGAGACATACAGGGTGGTTACATTTAAACGAGAACGGTGGAATATCTCGCAGGGAATTGAAGCTATGAAAATAATGTTCCTACAAAAGTTGTGTGGTATAAAGGGCACGTTATGCGATATAAATAATTTTTCTGTAGGTGTAGCAGTGAGGGAGATATGAAAGTCAAGTTAAGTTTTTAAATGGAACGCTATATTTTTCTATTCTTAATACTATAGCCTTGGCTGAGACGAATTCAACGTAAGTGCCACATTGTCATTTCGTTTTATGGAGAGTTTGTATTAGTAGCACAGTGTAGGGTTTAGCTGGCCAAAAGTGTGCGAAACACTCGACTCTCCAATTCTTCACTACTTTACGATTTTTCATAAAACGAAATGACTTTGTGTGGCATATCGTTGAATTCGTCTCAACAAACGCTACTATATTATGAATAAAACAATACAGGGATTCGTTTAAAAAACATTAACTTGACTTTGATATCTCCCCCACTATTGCATCTACTGAAAAATTATGTATACCACATAATGTGCTCTTTTATACCAAACAACTTTTGTAGGAACATTTCAACGTTCTCGTTTAAATGTAAAACCCTGTATTGTGTCCCACTGGTCACGAAAGGGTTAATGTGGTAACTATTAAATACAGAGTTTCTGCGTTCATAAAGCAATTTCTAGACCCTGATTTCTGACCCTAACGGTCGATTCGTGTGGCATATCGTTGAATTCGTCTCAACAAACGCTACCATATTATGAATAAAAAAAATACAGGGATTCGTTTAAAAAACATTAACTTGACTTTGATATCTCCCCCACTACTGCAGCTACTGAAAAATTATGTATACCACATAATGTGCTCTTTTATACCAAACAACCTTTGTAGGAACATTTCAGCGTTCTCGTTTAAATGTAAAACCCTGTATTGTGTCCCACTGGTCACGAAAGGGTTAATGTGGTAACTATTAAATACAGAGTTTCTGCGTTCATAAAGCAATTTCTAGACCCTGATTTCTGACCCTAACGGTCGATTAAAAATTTTAATTCAAAGCTCTCGAAAATAGCTTTACTATGCATATGGCTTTGCTGGTGTCATAAGCCCCATCATCTTAACAGATTTATACAAAACATTTACCTTATGAAACAAACTGTTTATGAAGAATGGGATAATAATGTATGAACGAGAATTTCAAAGAATAATGTTTGAATCGAGTGCTTGAAATCAGAGTACAAAAGAAACGTGTACAGTCACCCAATATTTTTTATTTCTAATTGTATGAACAATTACCTCCCTTGCCTTGTTGTATCGTACTACAAAGCACGTGCCGTATATTATGCTTTGAAGTTGACAACTGACGCAATGAAAAAGCTGTCCTGAAATATTGCAAAATATCCTAAAACGTATTTTTTAAACGATAAGAGTGACTGACGTTATGAACGGCCGTTATAGTTTTACGTTGCATATTGCAACGTTACTTGTGTATGTATACCATGAAGCGATGCGGCATCAATTTGATAAATTAAACGAATGGTTATTGTGAAACACTTGATAATGCGTGCATCCGTACAGTACTTAACAGTACAAAACGTGCACACGGCCAAGTGCATTGTAAATAGACGAATCCACATAAGTAATAGAATATTGATCAGTACTTGAATACATATTAGTAATTCATAACTAATGGACAATTCAATATTCAGTCACAAATATTTACACGTTAACATTTCGTTCATATTCATGCCTAATTCGTCACCTAAAACTTTTAAGAAGGAAGACGAAAATTCAGGTTACTATTAGGAAAGTCACAGTGAACATTTGAAATACAGGGTGTCCCCAAAATCTATATGCAAAAATAAGTCGAAAATAAAAGTATAACATTTTTTCATTCAAGGCCTCGTTTTCGAAAAAAATGAGTTCGAAAATCCAAGTACCTGTTTCGAGATGTGGAACTTCCATTTCTGCTCGTGTCTGTATTATTAAACATGGACAATGCCACGATTTGCTTCCTGTTATTGTGTTATCTTATTCCCGCGATATCGGTCTGTACTATTACATTCTTTTATTCTGTATTTAATTCGAATGGTTTCATAAATGAGGACAAGATTAGTCACAGGTGTTGGAAATGTTGACCGTGTTGCTGCATACACGAGCAGAATCAGAAGTTCCGTACCTCGACACTTACAGTTAATACACGGGCACTTGACGGATTTTTCAATTAATTTTTATCAAAGACGAAGCCTTCGATGAAAAAGTATTCTTTTTTTCCACTTATTTTTGCATATATAGAGTCACCACCCGGCTGGTTGTACCACGATTTTGGGGACACCCTGTATACACGGTGCGGCAAGAAAGTAACGAGACTGAATTTCTGCTGATAAACAGCAGACGATATTTCGGTTTTGTAACGTATAGAAGTGTTTTCCGCGTCTAGTTTTGTCGTGCCGCCACAATCCTTACGATGGAGCAACCGTAACAACGTTTTTGGCTAAAAAGGCAATTCCTGTGCTTAATCACCCTCCTTACACTCCTGATTTGGCCCCCGCAGACTTTCTTTTATTCCCACAATTAAAATTGAAATTGAAGGGTAAACCATTTCAATCCGTGCTTGATACTCAACAGTGTTACAAGACAGTTAAACGAAATTAAAGCAGAACAAATTTCAAACTCCTTTAAACAATTATGTGACCGATGCAAACGTTGTATCGAGTTCCTTGGAGATTATTTTGAAGGAAATAAATAAAAAGTCTACAATGTTATTGTATTAGTATCTTGTATTTTTTACTAGTCTCGTTACTTTCTTGCCGCACCGTGTACTTCACTGATACGTGTATCAGTTGTCAATCCACAGATCCCTAATTCAATCAACATTTTCTTAAATAATTACGTTAAATTTGTACCGCCCATGACCTCTTAGCACTTCAAATATTCAATGAAATAATAATTCGGTTTCTGTTCTGTGTGGGCTCTATAAGTACATAGTTCCCGCCATAGTGATTGATGTAATAATGGGAAATAGAATTAACTACACTAGAATGAAAGAAAATTAGGTGTTCGATTGCGTGTCGTGGTCAATTTGACTCGAAGACAATTTTATGAACGATTGTGTAACACTAGTTGCTATTACGTTTACTCGTCAAGTATCAAGTATGCAAGTGGCATTATTTATCGCAATCGTTACTTGTACAATTTACCGCTAATACGAACAACTCCAATTATTTTATCGATTAACTCGTACCGACGATGCTCAACGACGTCCAGCAAATGATTGTAACAAGTGTGAAAATGCAATCTGAGAATTCCACAGAATTTCCAGAATCCAGAGGAAAACGTAGTTTGTCGCAGTGGTGTTATACTGATAAACAATAATATTCTAAGTTTTACGACTCGTTTGCTCCATTTCAAATGGAAGTGTTTATATGCGATAGAAACTAACGTTATTAGTTTTATTATCTTTCAATTTCGCTTTACTTCTTTTATTTTATTATTTCATTTATTTCGTTAAGATTATTTTCTCTACGAAATATATTGTACTACTAAGGAATAAAATTTCATCGCACAAAGAATTTTCCTTACATCATTCACCAAAAAGACATTTTATAATTGTTTACTCGTGAATTACGTTTAATTTCAAAGTTTCAAATGGAATGATTGTATCTGTAATTATCTTATGTACGTGTGTATTTTACCAAGTATTCCTAATTATTCGTAATTAGGTGTACCATAAATGTATGCTAATCCATATGGATAAGTTACTGTCATGTTGTACACTGTTTTACACTACTCAATTTTATACATTTTACACAACTTTACGTTACTTTTCTTTTTAATATGAGAATTTTACAGACACGTATTTGCTCAAGTTCTCTTTATTTGTGCAACTTGTAATGAACAGGTATAGGAAGAAATAACTTTTATTAGTACAATTCTAGCGTTAAAAGGAAGAGCATATGTAGCAGTATAAAGAAAAACAAATTGTCAGACAACTTTCGTCACGTTTAATGATAAAAATTATAATTCTTCACAATAATCACAATTGATTCGTGTAAAAACATCATAATTTTTTGATTCCCGCAAATATTCTCCTTTTGAAAAAAAAAAGCATTAAATAATTGTTTTTATGTATCACGACTAACTTGGTTACCACTAACATTTTTTCCTTGGCTTACGACGAACTCAAATAGAAATACTAATGAAACGTGTATCTTTAAAGATTTTTAATTATCCATATAGATAAAACATGTGAAGTTGAGTAATGTACAATATTGTAAAGTTGCTTTTACAACAACTTATCCATATGGACAATTACAGAAAATTTTCGTTGAGTAATATAAAAGAATATTTTGTATTAAGGAGTAGAAATGTAAATAATATAAATATTGTTGTTACGTTTCTTATAAGCTTTTCCTAAGAAGATTAGCGAAATACTGTTTGCAAATGTTAGAGAGAAACATGAGTCATATTGGCAATACTTAATTATCCCTGTAACTTTTCGTTATTCACATTACATACAAATTTGTCTCGCGTAATTATTTATTAGTTTCGCCTAATTTCAAACATTTGTTTTTTATTGAATAGAAATTATTTTATTGTTATTACTAAATTTTTTTCAGCTGTGTCAGATATTGTGGGCTTGTTGGATTCGAATTTTCCATTGTACAGGATCGGTGATTTATCAAATTCCAAGATATCAAAATTAAACGATAAAGACTTGGCCGCTCTTTTGGCCGACGTTTCTCCAGCCCCGCCGGTTCTTCAAGAAAAAGGCTGTTACCATGATCAATTATTGTACATTTTCACCAGTGGCACAACTGGTTTACCTAAGGCTGCGGTTATAACAAATTCTAGGTAAGAAACATTTCAATTCGCTACGTATAATTATTCAAATTATGATTAACTCTTAATGCATATTTGCAATGTTCATTTTGGAATAATTTCAGTCCTTAGAATTCAGCTTTACGTAGCTAATACCGCATGTCAAGTAGTAATAAAACATTAATACAAATGTAATCATTGCATGTTTACTCGCTTTGAATGATTTATCTTCAATTTATACAGGGTGTCCTGTAACTCCTCGAACACACGGAAATGGGGGGTTCCTGAGGTGACTCTGAACAACTTTTTCCTTTACCAAAATGTTGTTTGAAGCTTCATTTTTGAATTATTAACGAAAACCACTGGCCAATCAGAGCGCGCGCAGAGCCCGCGCTCAGGGACGGGCGAACCGAGATTCACCCGCGCGCTATCATGAACGACGCGTACGCGTGACTTCTCGGTTATCGATCGCTGTCAAAAAAATTTGACTTTGCACCGCTATTTTTATAAGGCTTAGAGAAATGGGTTTTTCCCGTCATTCCGACATTTATGTAAATTTTTGAAAAAACTGCAATTAGTCGGAATCGTGAAGAAAATAGCGAAGGTCTGAAAATAGCCTCTGTTCTCCGCCCCTGAGCGCGGGCTCTACGCGCGCTGTAATTGGCCAGTGTTTTTCGTTAATAATTCAAAAATGAAGCTTTAAACAACAGTTTGGTAAAGGAAAAAGTTGTTCAGAATCACCCCAGCAACCCCCCATTTCCGGGTGTTCGAGGAATTACGGGACACCCTGTATATGACTCGATATTTAGCTTTTTCCCTTTCTGATTGTGTTCTTCCAAAATTATGGTATCATTATTCAAAGCACTTAAACTAACATTTCAAAATAATTTTCTTATTTTCTATTTTCTTTCGCGTAACGAGTACTTGTGTATATTTTTAAAAGTTTTATTCGACATTGAATTTAGCTCGAACGTATTACTTGTACAAATTAAGTTTTCTCTCGTCAAATAAGTTCCATTTAATATTTGCAACATTATTCATAGATTATAGGGTACACATTTAACTAAAAACTATTTACGTACACATTGACTAAAGGAAAAGGGGACAATCAAAAAGTATTTTATAGGTAACTTTGAATCTGAATTAAAAACTGACACCTGCAAGAAAATTTCAAAACTTTTTATCTCCAGAATGGTCTGATCGTATATCACATTGGCAAAAAAGGAACGATTTAATAATTGCTCACTATACTTTTTGTTGTTTATCCCTGATGATTCATTTTCTCCTGTTTTACATTGGAGAATGTTTAATTATAATTGAGGACAAAGGTAGCGATTGGACGTCAACACCGTGCTAAACAACTTCAAACGCGAGTAAACACGGGAGTACCAGCCGCGACAATTAACTCGGTTCGTTTTAGCGTGAAACAGTGCATTTGTGAATATTAAATTAAAAGAACGGTTATAATTATCCGTACAACATGAGGAGTACTACGGGGCCAATCTCTTCATTGAAATGGCCACCAACTTCGAACTTACACAAATGTCACCCAATGTGACTCCTTTCTAAGAAAGGAACGAGCGATTCTAATCGAAGAACAAATTCAAATAAGAGATTATGCCTCTGTTAGGCACGTATCTTCCGAACGGGTGCATTCCGGAAGCTAAAATTTTATATTTCGAGTCCTTTCACACCTCTCACAACACCCACCAAGTTTCATCTCGATTGGCCACTCGGGCCATTCGGAACAATGTCCAACATAGCACTCTCAGAACCCTATTTCTGGAACTCTCAAATGGATACGCAAATCATGATCAATTGTGTACTGATGGATCGAAATCAAAAGAAGAAATGGGACGTGGAATAATTTCCCCTACGCATAAAATATTATTCAAATTATCAGGTTCTCTAGTAAAGCTCATGCCATACTGCAAGCCTTGAAGTATATCGAAGAAACGTACTACAACAAATATATTGTTTTACTGATTCCAAAAGTGTCGTATTAATGCTACAAAATTTAGAAATTGAAAATCCAATAATCCACAGTATCATAGAAACGACTGCAATACTCAAAAAGACCGGAAACGGTATTTTGTATACTTGGATTCCAGCAGAAAAGGATGCTAACGTCAAAGGAAAAGAAGAAGCAAACTCAGCGGCAATTCTAACTAGCATTTACGAACTCGAAAGAAATTTTGTACTGATATACCACGAAGATCTTCAAAAATATCTTAACAGGAAAAATTAAAGTCCTATTATTACATATAAAATTAGAAGAAATATCTGCGACACCAGTCCAGCACTGCTTATAAACCAGAAAGATCAAGTAATCTTAACCCCTTGACGACTGAGATCATAGAACAAAAACTTCACCATACGGACGGAGGCATATATTATATAATTTTTATAGTCGATTTAGACGAACAATAGAAAGCCTGTACGAAAATAGAAGAAAGTGAGAAGGCTGCGATGGTTGTGATGGTGAAGTAGCTAGCCAGTGTCGCTACGGACCTGAAAATCGCGAGTTTGAATGCCTGAAACCTTCTTTTTCTGAAGGTCTAGAATAATTCCCCCTCTCCTACTCTTTAGTACACTGTAGTTCAGTCATTGCCCGTACGAGCAGCGCATTAGGTCCGATACACACTAGCGGCCCGCTCCTGGTTCGGTCACGGTCCAATCCCCCTTTGCTCGCGAAATATAAATTAGTTTATACATCTATGTTTGGCTAAAAATCCGCTTTTTCGCGATTTTCAACAGGTTATCATTTGTTAATAACTTCGAAACCAACAAAATGATGACATAAACTTGTCTATAGACTACATAGATTTTTAAAAACGAGAGCAAGGGTTCGTTTTTACAAAACAAAAATTTATTTACAACTTTCATATTGAAAAGGAGTGCGTACAACAAGAGTAAAAATATTCTTAGAAAGTTTCATCTTTTGTGATGCGAATGAAAAAAAAATAGACTACAACATATTACAGTTCCAACAAAATTGGAATTGGAATATATCATAACCGGTGGTAAAATATTCTTTCCAAAGATAGTTGCTGGGACGAAACCGGTCCGTGATCGAACCGGGACCGGAGCATTACCCGTAGTGTGTGGGTACGTTATAAACCACAGAAGAATATTTGACCGGACCAGTAGCGGACCGCTAGTGTGTATCGGGCCTTAGGTGTCCCCGAGCGCAAAGAAATCGGTGGGATCATAAGCTCACCTTTTCTAACGCAATCATAAAGATAGAGCATACGTATTGTCATTATTGGCGGAACGCGATAACATCGACGAATCGAATCATACGGTACCGCGTGTTGGAACTTGCCCCTGTGCCGTTCCGGGGGCAAACTCCAAATTTCATCACTCTCACAGTAGTATGTATGTAGTAACCATCGTACGTCTTAAGAAGGAGAATTATGTTTCGAAGATATATAATACAAGCGTCTTTTTCTCATTCCGCTTTAATGTACATATGTGACATCACTAGCCCGCGACTTCGCTCTCAGCTCTGCCCGCGGGCACTGGCGGGTACCCTTGCCCGCCTAAAGGCCTTCTAAACGGCACTGCTTTAGAAATTAGCAGTTGCATAAATCGCATAAGTCAAGGCAAGGAGGATCATAGGATCACCATAGGAAACTCAACTATCTGCAATATGTGTAACATTAAAGACTCCATTGAGCACATTCTAATAAACAGTAGTATGGAGCTAAAAGAACACAACATGGCACATATTTCATCAAATTTACTGGACGTATTACAAGAAAAAAATTCTTTCATTCTTAACAGATGTTGAACAATAATCACATAACATGACGAAAGTTAATAACTCCGAAGGTGTGGATGACCTTACACATGTAATAGATATGTAAGCAATCTATGTAATGTATCTGTATGTAATATAACTCATAGTGGTCTGTAACAGCTATAAAACTGATGCGACATCAAATAAATAAAAAAATAGTTTAATTAAATTAACAATAATATATACAGTTATATTAATAAGTGTTTCCTTCAACAGTATTCGATTTTATTACTAATATTCCTACATTATATTAATTCTAACAATTGTTTTTAAATGTTTCAGGTATATGTTTATGGCAACTGGTATATATATGATGGTACCATTCAAATCTTCAGATAGAATTTATACTCCATTACCATTATATCATACAGCCGGTGGTGCAATGGCTATTGGCGCGGCTCTTCTCCATGGAGCTACAATTGTAATTAGAAAAAAGTTTTCAGCGAGCGCTTACTTTACTGAATGCGTCAAATATAACTGTACGGTAAGTTATCTTCACTTTCTGTTATTATTATCGAACGAGAGTGTATTTAAAATTCATTTATTTGAGAACCTTTTTCGAAAAAGCACGGATGTCAAAAGGATGGATATAATTTATTTTTAGGTCGGCCAATATATTGGAGAAATGTGTAGATATATTTTAGCTGTACCTCCAAAACCAGAAGACAAACAGCATAATGTTAGAGTGATGTTTGGAAATGGTTTGAGGCCGCAGATATGGCCCGAGTTCGTAGAACGATTTAACATTCCACGAATTGCTGAATTTTATGGAGCAACTGAAGGAAATGCTAATATCGGTAAAATTTTTGTTTTAACCCTTGAACAGCCGACAGAAAACTGACGCGGCACGCCAACGCCGGGTCTCTTTTGGACCCATACTGAAATTTACTTTGTTTATATACATTGTGTACATAAAATTGTATTTTTTTAATCGTATGTTGTGAACCTATATGTCATAGGCATGTTATACATATTCATCTGTATTTGATATCATTTCCTATGAATTTGTAGCATCTCGAACATATTTATGCTGTTATTTAGCTTCTTTGATCTTTTCTTCTCGCTGTTGTATTCAATACTGGTCTGGCTAAAGACGTTAGAACTCTCCACGCAGACATTTGTTTATGTTACAGCGATAAGATTGAGCCTAGCGAACGAGCAAACGTTGACGCCTCTTCGCTATGCTTGAGACATGGGTCAAAAGTGACCCGGCATTGGCTGGGCAAGGGTTAAATGCTTTATTCTTTCTACATTATCATTAAGGATTCGTAATGAAAATATGTTTAAATATAAAACCATTTTTCTAATTAATTAAACACTGGAGTAATTAATTCTGTATTATTGATAAATGCCTTTATCATTTTTTATTATTACATATATTTTATTATTGTTGATAGATATATTTTATTAGAGCAAATACTCTAGGAAATGTAGCTAAATATTTTCTAATGTTAATATTTGATCCTCTTTTTAGTAAATATCGACAACACTGTTGGAGCCATTGGTTTTATATCCCGAATAATTCCATCAATTTATCCTATTTCTATTCTAAAAGTAGATGCTGATGGAGAACCTGTAAGGGATGCAAAAGGTTTATGTCAAGTGTGTGAACCAAGTAAGTATTTTCTTTTGTATAAATTAAAATGTTTATTTTACACTTGGAATTATATCAAAACTATTCTTTTATTTCATCTTTCAATTATAGTCGAGACCAAGTGTATTGTCCGGTCAGGTGGTTTTCTCCTCCGTCGCTTTTCGGTTCCACTCTTACCGTTCGGTATTTAACAGTTATCCTATAGAATTTTTCCATTCTGTCCTAAACTATTCTTATTATACTGCATACACATATACATACACACACAAACGTTCGTAAAACTACACGTGAATAGATATAGCGAGGGTAAGGAAGTCGCAGCACTTGAAAAGGATACCGCGCGCGTTGCAATGAATTACACTCAGTAATGAAAATTTTAATTTCTATAATTTTCATTTTATTCTTATAAAAATAGTACCAGCGGGTTAGTGAGGTCCTCCCAATGAAAATAAGTTCAAACACGACATAAATTGGACTAAACGTAATAATAATCAACTTCAAATTACCTTTAAAATTGTATAATTACCCGAAACCCCCATCGCGTAAGCTGGGTCCAACCTCAAATGGCTCGTTTCACTGTCTTCTGGACGGATTTTCTTACATTAGAGAAACTGAAATTTTTGAAATTGAAGTACATTGCAATACAGGCACTTTCAAGTGTCGCGTCTTGGCCGTCGTTGCTTGATACACTACGTTTATTTCGAAAAAGTCTATTGCCAAAAACGAGAGATAAAAGAGGTGTACCTTCATAAGATATAACGAACAGAGCACATTGCCGTCAGCAGTAAAACAAAGATCACATTACAAAAACAGATGCACCCATGCGCCTATAACGTTGACCAGTTGAACTACTCTATATGTATCAGGTACCGCTTGGTAGCGTTTGTCGATGTGAAAAAAGCGACGGAGCAAAAATGGCCTTGACCGGCCAAGATATTTATTTCTTACTGTAGAAAAATATTTTTACTATTTTTAGATGAACCAGGTGTTTTCGTTGGAAAAATTTTACCCAATAATCCAACTAGAGCATTTTTGGGATATGTGGATCAAAAAGCATCCGAAAAGAAAATAGTTCGTGATGTATTTACCAAAGGCGATTCAGCATTTATATCTGGTATAAGCATATTCTAATAAAATTTTAAATATTTATGTTTGTTATTCTTAAAGAAATTAATCATAACAAGGTACCATTTTGTTTACAGGTGACATTGTAATAGCAGATGAATTCGGTTATTTATTTTTTAAAGACAGAACAGGTGATACCTTTAGGTGGAAAGGAGAAAATGTGTCAACATCTGAAGTCGAAGCTATTATTAGTAACGTTGTTAACTATAGAGATTGCATTGTTTATGGAGTCGAGGTGAATAAGATATTAAAAAAATATACTAAATAATAGTTATTTTGCATTTGAAAAATTATATTTGTTACAAATCTTGTTTAACTCATAACACACGAGGTTTAACAATTTTGATGTATTTCTTAATTCCGTACTAAAACATTCTAAAACTAACTATATTTATATTTAATGTTTTTTTAGATTCCAGGCCTTGAAGGTAGAGCCGGAATGGCAGCAATATACGACGAAAAATCTATGCTAGACATCAATAAATTATCAGTTGACCTAAAGGAACACTTAGCAACGTATGCAGTACCTAGATTTATTAGGATTTTAACGAAAATTGATCTTACAGGTATTTTTATTTATAGCTCCTATTAACCACATTCTATAAAAATCACGACAAGAAATTTCTTTTAATTACAATACCCTACCAATCATAAGTATATGCCCATCCATTTATTCACAATGTTCTTTATTTCAGTAAGCAATTTCATTTAACCCATTTCTAAAGAAGAAGTCAAGGATTTAACTTATTTTGTAATCCTTACTTAAGAAAACATAGTTCTTTTAAAAAATTTATCACATTTTGAATAAAGAGAAAAAAGTAGATGGGTAAATACTTATGAATTGTAGTACATATCAGAATTAGTTTCCACTTCTAATGTTTAAAAATTTTTGTTAATTTAAAGAACAAATTTTTACACTTAATTAAAAG